ACTGAACCTCAGTCTACTAGCAAAAATAGTTCCATATAATCTATTTAGTGATATGAAATGTATCCAGTATTTTTATCCAAAAATTTTATCAAAGCCAAAATATTTGTTTACCATGTGTTTTTATTCCTATCTTCGAGATGTTCTATTTGTTTTCGCCAGTGAAATATTTTTGTTTCTCTACAGGTCAAACAGGGTTTCGGAGAATTCCTAACACAATTTAGCCATAATACATTGTAACAAATGATCTGTTCGAGATTTCTTTAATGAATTTCTATATGCTTCTGTAAATATATTATTTCTTTATTAACATTATCATATTTCCGTACTATGCTTCGTAAATAGTTAAATACTTTCGAAAATTGTATTAAATGTCATCGGTTGGTGGCCCTGCTTTATCACTAACTAATTGAAATTAAGAAATTTAAACTAACACATTCAAAATTATTGCCTGAGTAAATATGTTTGTCGAAAGACATTTCGGCACGAAGTTCGACTCTCTGATGGGTCTACAACAATTTTTCGCTTAGTATCCCTAATCCTGGACAAAAAACTTTCCAGCTGACACTAGGTTTTTAAAACTTGACAAACAGTGTCAGTCGTTGGCAAAAGTTATCTTTGAATGAGAATCACTTTCTGATAAATGAAAAAAGAATTTTTTTTATGCTTATTCACGTTTCTATTTCGTTGGACAATTTAATTGTGAACAAAATGCAAAAAAATTATGTATGTTTCTTTAAAACAAGATAGATGATCTGTGGGTAAAATTAATACGTTTCGACAATGCAATGAGAAGACGAAGTTTATCAGAATTATATGATATATCTGCCCTTCGTCCTTAGAGAATCAAAGTTGGTTTTAAGCCAAAGTAGTGGATATAGCGCATCAGTTTCATTCTTCCGGACCAAAGCAGAGAAGCATATTAACTTCTCAGCACTTCAAATCATTAAAACAATTGCGAAATAATCCCGATATTATTATAATTAAACACGATAAAGGATCTGGTGTTGTTATTTTGAATAAGTCCGATTACAAAAAAAATAAAATGGAATCCATTCTCAGTGATAAAGGCAAATTTTCGGCTGATGTTGACTTCAATGGATTACGTAAATTAGAAAAGAAAGTAAACTCGAATCTTGTGAAATTGTTAAACATGAATGCTATTAACAGGGATCAGTTTAATTTATTAAAACCTATTGGTTCGGCATATCCTAATTTATATGGATTACCAAAAATTCATAAGCCTAATACCCCACTTTGTCCAATTCTATCAATATGTCGGTCGCCTACACACAACCTTGCAAAATGGCTTATGAAAGTATTAAACATATCCGAATTCAGTATTGTAAGTATTCATTGACTGACTCATTTGGATTGATTAATTACTTAAAGGACATAAAGACAAAGACAATGTGCTCCTTTGGTATGAACACTTTATTTACAAATGTACCTCTCAGGAAAACCATTGATATTTTGTGTGACTATATTTCTTTGAATAACCTTCCACTCGCATTTCCTGTTAACACTCTTAAAGATTTATTATTATTGTGTACAGATAATGTAAAATTCACTTTTGAAGGTGAACACTTCCGACAAATAGATGGTGTAGCTATGGGTAATTTGTCGGGTAATTGAGGATTCAATTCGAAAGATGGGTCTGTATAAACGATATGTTGATGACATAATAATCATAGGGGATAAAGGTGAAGATATAAACCGCTTGTTAAAAGAGTTCAGTAGAAGTCAAAAGCATATTTCTCTTACATGTGAAGAAGAGAAGAACAACCAACTTCCTTTTCTAGACATCCTGATTAGTAGGAGAGATGATGGTTCCATTCAACGTGCTATGTATAGAAAGCCAACATGGACAGGGCAATATCTTAATATTCATAGTCACTGCCCTATTCATTACAAACACGGTTTAATAAAGAGCTTATTCAACAGAATCAGTCGTATTTGTACTAGTGATACTATTGAATTAGAGACGAAGCTCTTGACTGATACGTTAATGAATAATGGTTATTCTTTGAAGTCCATAAACTGCTGGAAGGGTTGTAATACGAGTAAACTTGTGACGCTTCTGTCACCCGAAAAGCGAGTTTATATTACGTTACCATTCAGAGGCTACACAAATAGTCTCATGTTGAAACAGAGACTTAAATTAGCTATCAACCGGACATTTTATGCAGCCCAACTTGTCATTATCGAAAAGACAAGGTCTATGTTTAACCAAAAGCCCAAACAGCACTAAAGCGATTGTCACATCCCATTGTGTCTATCAATTTATATGTATGTGTGGAAACACGTACATAGGGAGGAGCAATCGTGATTTGCAATTAAGGGTGGGTGAACAAATACCAAAATGTAAATAAATAATATATCTGTAATATCCCAATGAGTAGAAAATTAGATTTTCTGACGTTTCGTGACTTAGTGTAAGCCACTTCTTCAAAGAATAAATAACCAAATCAAAATTAATCCAAGTTTAAATAGTACAATAGTACTATTTCAAATATATTATTTATTTATAACAATCTACCCAATGCTCAATTTATTCGAGATTACCAAATCAAACCTTGGTAATGATACCTACATACCAAAATGGCTGCAGAAACAAGTGGATTCCAATAGTCAAATAAGATCACATGACAGACAGACATCATCCTCCATTGTGAAACATTTGATTGAGACGGGTCATAAGGTTGACGTCAAATAAGCATTTGTAGTGTTATACAAAAGCCTTCAAGGACGTATACTAAGGTTTATTGGAGCCTTGGCTATACGGAAATTGAAACCCCCTTTATGTGATGGAAAACAATTTGTCCTTACACTTAACCTACCCTGGTAATAGTGATTTATTATCCAGAGTGGTAATCACATTTGTTTTGTGTACTTTAATGTTTTTTTTATTTGTTATGGCTAACCCTTATAAATGTTCTTAACAAGTATATATGTGATCAGATTGCTCTAAATGCATTGCACAAATATATCACATAATTCTGATCAACTTCGTCTACTCATTGCATTATCGAAATTTATCAAAGGGACTAATTGTTTTAAAATCAATAAGGTTAACTTTGAATGAAATCACGGATACACCTCCAACTAACTAATAAACCTTCAATAAAATTTCGTTTCTTTATACTGAGATATCTGGTCAACAAACACACCCATAAAGGTCAACACAATTCATTCTGGAGTTCTTTAACTTTTGTAAATAAAAATTTGACCTAATATCGCCTTATCCAAGTACTTGTTTCTCTAGATTTTCCGACTAATCTGTTTTTGGAGAAAAATTCTCTGTATTCAGTTAAACAACTATTGAAAAGCAGGAAGCATTGGACATTTATTTCATCTTAGTGTTGAACTCCGCGTCTATGCGTAACCACTACCTTGCCACCATGGGTCGAGCCCAGGACCTTCGGTCTCACAACTGTCACGTCGCGAGATCGGAGGGCATGGGTTCAGTCTCTCGCAGGGTCTCGGATTCGCACTGATGAGCCCAATGCCAGAATGAGACAGTTGTCCAATGCTTCTTGGTTTCCAGTTGTTGTCTAATTAAGATTAGTCCGTGATCTTAATCACTGAATTCAAATATCTACACAAACTCGCTACAGTTTGAACAAATATCCAGAAAACATTCGTGACCAACTATTCATCCATCTTGTTGCTAAGTAGGGGATGATTAACACTAATAGGTTATTCATTTGGAGCAGTCATTCCCTCATTTGATCCAAAACATGGCTTAGGATTACGTGCAGAGCAACATTTCTAAGTAATTAATTATAGTTACTCCTTTCTCATGGTAGAAATGAAGAGAATATATTGTTACGTAGGTTTACACGCCATGGGACCGATTGAAGCTGAAATTGAAATCTTCGTGTTTTTGTTTAATATTCATGTTGTGTTACGTGATAAGGTGATAATCTCAAACTTTCAAGTCCAAGTATAAACAAGTTTTATTTACCTATTTTGGAGTTGTTGATTTGTTTTATGGTCCCCTAATTCAATCCAGTTAATCCCCTTGATAAATCACGATAACCCAATTAGAAAACTAAGTTGATCAGCTTAGTCCTAATAAGCTTAGTCATCTGACTGCGTTATTGAGATTCCTGAATTCATTTTCTTTATTTATCTAATGATAACATGTTAAAACTCGTTCTGCATCTAAGCCAATCATTGAAAATTGATTGTATGCTGGACTGAAAAAACTCTAAAGTTAATTGCATTGTTTATGAATTAAGTTCAAGTGGTTTTCACAACATTAACCAGTCTCTGTTCATTAATGTAGTGTATTATATGCTCTGTAGGTTAAAAACATAAAACAGAAAATGAACCCCGTTAACTTAGTAATGCTTCACTCACGTTCGAAGTACACTAAATCTGCAGTTTGAGCGAACTCCTAGTGAGTAGAAACTGGAATTTCCGACGTTTCGCAACTCAGTTTAAATCGCTTCTTCAGAGAGCAAATAAATAGCTGAAACAAATTAGCGTGAGTTAACTCTCTGGAGAAGGGACTTAAACTAAGTTGCAAAACGTCAGGAATCCTAGTTTCTACTCATTTGGATATTATAGATGCCCTATTACTTTGGTATTAACAATCTGTCCAATGTTCAATTGATTTGTAATTATTATGCTAAACCTTGGTAATGATACCTAAGTTCTAGTTGCCGCGCCAAATCCGAGCAAACAATCTATTTCGAAAACGGTTGAATGAAGCCTTACATCAACAATTCCACATGCATTTTATACAATAACAGTCCTTATTAGGCTATTTCACATACTCAAGACCGAGTGATGTGAATGAATCATTCACTGAAGTTGTCATACTCACATCTAAATTACTATTGGTTTTTCGTGAACATTACTTTTGTTATCACACTAAAGTAGGACACTGAAATTTTTGTGACCAATCATATGTCTCATTGGTTAACCAATTGCGTCTAAGTGATCGATTAAACTAATAATTGTAATCTTATTGGTCCATAGAAAGTAATTTTAAACCCAGGTATTTGGACGGTAAACATTAGTTCGTTTTGTTTATGAAATGGCTTGTCTTGTGAGTGAGAAGGTGTACAGTTGGAAGGACACTAACCTTGCACTTTTCGGGTCCGATGTAGAAAGAGCTGTAAAAAGTGAGTATTAAAATATCCATAGCAATAATGACGTCTATCCATATGACCATTTTAGTAATTAGTGGTTTGATCTCGGTTTTTATTTTGTGTTACTTAATGTCTAGTCTTTTGCTGTCACTAACGAATTAAGTTTATGATTTTCAAGATGGTAGTAGTAATTATTGGTGCGGTAGAACCATATTTTAGTAACGGCTTTGAGCTGCTTATTAACTATTTCGGAAACAGCGTTCGGTTACGAAACCACTTACGACAAATAACAAGATTTTTAGGGATGCATGGTCCCGGTATGATAGATGAACGAGAAAAGTTTAGAATTATAAATTAAGGGCTCAGACAGAGTCAGGATTGTTCGGCTTAAAAGTTGGCAAAAACTGGCGGGACTGGTTTATAGACGGATCAATCAGGTTTAAGGTTATGAATCTTGTATTGGTGTGAAATCCATTCGTCAAAATGGCAAGATAACATTTGGGTAGCATGGTTAGTACCGTTTAGTGATTGAAACCATGATTCTAATTCCTAACCCTAATTTCTCACTCTAAATCCTAGTTCTTATTCCTCAAAATAATCCGTATGGTCATCCATAATTTAGGGATTTGACAACATACTTTTATTTATTTTAGTATCTTGACGTTTGTGTTGATAATGAATCTGTTCAGGATGCCAACCGATAAAAATTAAAATGTTTATTGATTTGTTTGTTATTATTCCACAAACAAGACATGATGACTATTTCTTTGCTACATAATAATCAGTTAACAGTGAAGTATTCCGTCATTTACAGCCAGTGGGTGGATCTAATAAATCGGTCAGTTTAAGAATCACCATATGTCCATATCAGACCCGAGTTGTACAGTAGTTGTTGGTGTCAGAAACTACAAATTTCACTGTACTTCTATGAAAACTAAACACTGTATGGACAAAGTTATAGCATCATAAAGAGCAATTTACATAAAATGTTAGCCATTTACATGCAAATGGCTGATTTATTTGGTAAACTGAGGATTTCATTATAAAATGAATAGCCATTAGGAACAACTGGAAAGAACTGCCCAGGACAGAGTTGGGTTGAGAACCCTGGTGGGAAGCCGATGCCCCTCTACGAGGAGTATCAAGAGTAAGTAAATAAGTGAGTTACTAAGCGTACAGCCTATCTCATGTGTGTATGTCTAACTGAAAGTACACTTCGTTTAGTAGTATGGAAATCTAGCTCATCCTATCTGTCATAACAAATGCTAATGCACCTCAACTGTATAGTGATATTAAATCTAGTGGTTACATAAGCTGCTTACTTCACATTAGTTGTTACACCACACAGACGTGTTCCCAATCTCAAAAATAATCCACAATGTCAAACGTGAGACAGGTATCACCAGTGGCAGGGGACATTTGTCGCATATTATTATGAATTGACTGACGTTAGAACTATGAACTATTAAATACCAACTCCGTAGTATCAAGATAACATACTCATCAAGAAACACGGAGGTCCCGGGTTCAATCTTCAGCGGAGTGCTGTTGGTGTACCCCGTTAAGCAGTCATGCACTCAGATAACCATCCAAAGCTCTCTTCTCCAATGCCTGTTTTTGCATAACCAGTTTATGTTGTAAACTACAAAAGTCTCTATGATCGTCTATGCTTTAACCGACTGTTGAAATACGAACGTATCACTGTGATAATTGTAATCATCTGATATTATTCGATCAAACATATATTTTTGAATAGGATATGGAATAACTTAAATCGACAGTCATTTCTTGATACGATGTTAATGAGTGGAGTTGAAATAAATATCAAACTTCGGTCGCGTATCAAGAGTAAATACTTAAACGAGTGGATTAAGTTTGCATTCCATACTCAATAAAGGAGTCTACGGAACCCTTGGTAGTTTAATATGAATAGTAAGCCAACTTGGTTTTATTTTCTGTTAGCATTCCTAACAACCTTTTCTACAAAAGCATATTTTATCTTTCCCTAAGTTACAAGTGTTACATTAAAAGCTTACCTTCATTACAGTTATTGGGTTCAGAATTTTTATAGCAGCGATCACTAAGCAAATTATGTTCTGAATACTAAAAGCTAGTAACCTATAATGATTTTGGTTATATGTTTAAAGCTTAATGGATAAATGAGAAAGTAAAGTGTTGATATATGATTTCCTTGATTTATTTGCAGAGGAATCTGCTGAGAAAGAGCCAGCATGGGGACCGGTACGAAAGATTGCCTCCTCTACTCTAATGGTCTGGCGAATAAAAGTAATTTTCGATGTTTTTACTAGCGATTATCTCTAATAGTTTCTTAATTATTGTATTTGTTTATGTTCTTTTCAGCTTATTTTGGCTTTTTTTTCATAACGACTTAGGTAAAAAGTTAACATGCTAAACTTGATACACTGTTTCTACATACATACCTTGACATGTTTGCAATCCTGTACGTATTATTGTTAGTGACAAGCATTTATTGTAGCATGTAGTATACGATAGAGTTTTCGTTCTTTAATTAGGTTAGTTTCGTCAATCCCATTAACTTTGGTGTTTGTGATAATGGACTATTATCACACAATAGAAATTGTGTATCAAACCATATATTAGCAATTCACGTATTACTAATTATAGAGGCTTCTTATTTCACCACGAAAATTCTTCGTACATATTTTTGAGGAAAAATTATTTATTTGAAGGTGGTTAAAATAACTGGGATAAACCTCAATAACAAATTACGATTTCTTCAAAATTAACAAGTTCATATTTGTAATTGTTAGCAATATGACGGATGGTTACTTTCTCTGCCGTATACCACTATACGCTAGATTGGATACTTGGACGGCACCCTATACAGAAACTAGATCACGTTATGTCATATATGCGACGCATGACCAAAAATAGAGAACCAAAGTAAATACCAGACAACACTTTACCCAACATAATTTCAAACAGTCACTCTCAGCGAGTACGGAGTAGAAATCGAATGCAGCAAAAAAAATCATAGTCAGTAGTAGGCTTGATAGCTGTTTGTCCACGCTCAATGACCAATCACATTTCACTCTCGTCACCACACATCGGTTACCTTACACCTTACTGTTAAGTTTCGAAAACTGATACTGAAAACAAGAAATCAGTACGATTCCCACGACACAAGGAAGAAGGCAGAGGCTGATAGTAGGAGCAGATTTATTTGACTTTCTAAAAAAAACAGGACTATCGCTAACGTATTACACTCATTTTGTTTGACTGATTTTACGGGTGTTTGATGATCAGTCATCTGAAATGTATTATAAAATAATTGGGAGGAATACCAAATCAGATTTCGGCACCAACGTTTATACTAAGTACAAGCTGAATATCATACTAAACGAAATTCACATCAATTTAATACAAAAGAATATTATACCGAATAAATGTAACATTGAAGTAAAATGAATGTTATGCCGATTAATTTTCATACTAAATTGAAACAGGAGTAATACTGAATAAGACTGACATTGAGTTATAATGTGATGTAGTAGTAAAACTTATCGAGATGAATTCATCTGTTCGTTTTGGTGTAATTTCTATAAATCGATGTAACTTAGTTGAGAAATTTTCTGGTTTATAAGTGGGTTGAATCACCGGTTAAAATATATTAAGTTCCCATGGAAAACCAGAGAGGACTGTACAACTCCCTGCACATGATAATGTAACCAAAATTTATTTTTGAACGATTAGTTAGTCAAGAACATATCTTGTGAAATGTGCAGAGTTATTAGATACAAAGACAGACTTTAAAAACCTTTACCATTCACAAAATTGGTCATTTTGTATATTCTATTCGCATGTTCGTGTTTATTTGATATAGTCTGTTAAAGGTCATAAGGATAATAAATAAATGGTGTTTAAAAAAGTTGATCTCTGATAAATTTAATCGATGTAATGAAAAGTAGTTTTTCATAACTGTATGATATATTAGGTGATAAAATGAAATAAACTCTTGTACATTCGTAATTCATCAACCCAACAATGTTGGTGTAATTAACTTTATCCATTCCACCGATAAGGCAATGTAAGTTTAGAATACATTCGTGTAATAATTTATTAATTTACAACTTCGACTTCAATATGGTGAATGAGACTACTTTATCCTCTTCTTCACTACCCACTAATCAGAGTAAGCAGAGGGATTAAATAACCTTTAAGTTAATTCAGTTATTATTCGATTCAGTGATTATTAACTACAGAATTTGTTCACCTTGTTGTGAACGAGAACACAAGTGGGGATAGTCGAATGTATTCGAATACAAAATTACAGAAAATCTTAGTAAAATCTGAGGACTATTTACAAAATATCAATCAATAGTCCAAGACTTCATTGTTCTTTCGTTTCCACATCAATCGTTCTCTGTTCTCGTTCACTTTTCTTCAATCTTCCTAACCTCCTGCCGCCAGGCATTTCACTTTCGATTGATGATACATACTACTTATATCTGTCAATATCAGTAGCACACACCGCAACCTGAGTACTTTTCACTGAACACAAAATCACAATGAAATAATTGATAAAAGGGAAAATGCATTTAGAATAAAATAACTGACTACAACTGAAAATACAATGAATCTCAGTGAATAGGATTCTCTCTAAATAAGTTAGTACAACGAAAATGCATTGAACTCAATTGGATGAAAATCACCTCAGATCGATGTGTAGATTTAAAAGTAATTTCTTTTTTTACACGTTGTGTTTGAGGATATAGCATTCTCAACAATTTATCTACCTTAATCTTCATTTAATCCCCTATCTGTGCTAGGGAAAATTTTTCCTTTATGATGACATTTAATACTTTTTAATACAAGAACAACAAATTTTAAGGGATCGGGTAAATTCATTTTGTTCCACGTGGCTTGAATCTACCTTACAAATGTTAATTTCAAACAGAAAATCTAATTTAAGAAAAACGTTCCTCACAAGATTTCATGTGTATAAGTGCATTTTACTGATAACAACATGTGTGTGAAAGTTGTACAACAAAAGAAACATAATTGGCATAACAAATTTTAAAATATTTGTTGTTCTCGCTCCCTACAATTTAACCGGTTGGGACCAATTGTGAGGAATTTGGCAAACCCTCTGTCTCTTCTGAGTATCCTATTTTGATATTAATGAAAAAGAAGAGCGTCAGGGCACTGATAGAAAGCCATCAAGTAAACAATACTGCATGGCTTCTTAGTAGACAAGTCGAGATACGATGATTCACTGTAGTCTAGAAAATAGGAAAATTATAATGTTTAATAAATCCTTATACATGATAATAAGTTGAAGGATGGACATAACTCATTGATGTTCAGCATAAACAGCTTTCGTCGGATAAAGTGGAATTAGATGTTTGCAGATACACAGTTTTTTCGAAGTAGTAGCAAGGAAATGAATATATACGTAGGAAGACGCATGTTTTGTTTCCTGTTAAACATTCGGACGATATCTTTTTCAGGATAAACCACATACTCATAGATCTTTTGTCTATAGAAAAGTCTGAATTATTAACGCGTTGAACAGATAATATACATTTAAACTGGATTCGTCCTTGGTGATTTTTTAACATAATATAACGAATCATACACAATAGAAGATAAGAAAATAAACTAAGCGAATTCTTATTTCATAGTTTAAATACAAAAAGTATAAACAAATATTTTTCTCAGTGTAAATTTTGAGCATGAATGTAGTGTTAATTAAAAACGTCTGTGGATCTAATCACAACCGAAATGTAGTTCAGGAAAGCATACTGAACGACTTACTTGAGACCTCACCAAGCAACCAATTCTTACAGAGTCAGTGTAACCTATTTTCTTGTTTTGTGAAGAGTTTATGTAGTCGAATTCTAGAAGATACAAGCTTTAAGTTAAATTTCAGATAGCACATGACATCATTATTTAAAGTATTTCAAATAGGAACCAGTCTGTACAGTAATTGGCTAAAACTCCCAACTTGGTTTATTCATGCCATGTAATAGTTTGAATTAGAACGTGAACTAGGGGAAATTCTGCGTCATTACTTAACATGCTATAACGTTAACATAAAATGTGTAATCAACTGCATTGGTCTGTAAATTCATCAGAAGTTTATCTAGGGATGGATGTGGGTTCCTGATACAGACCGTTATAAATAAGAGAGCTTCTATAAGTTTTTAAGTCATTTGGATAATATATACCCACACGGATTTTATATGGGAATTTGCAAATCAACTTCAGTCGAAACAAACGAAAAACCTTGATATAGTTTCTTTTAAGTAAGACCTGAAGAATAGTGCATTTTATTGGGTAAATGATGAATACTTTGGAGTGAATTAAGCTCACCGTCTTCACGAAGGTGGGATTCTTTGGATTTATAAAGGTGGGTTCTGTATACTGATCAACAGGGATTAAAATACCGAATCAGCTTGTTACTTCGTGACGTCATCCCTTCCTCACCTGTCTCTGTTGCTCACTTGATACTACTTACTAATAAGCAGTAGTTCGTGTCATATTTAGTCATTCTCATAGCTTTTAACAATGCCGGGTGATACTTCTTTAACTTAACAAACCACTTACCTCATTCGTCTATCTCTATATTTGCGTCCTGGTTCGTTCTTTTAGTCGTATTATTGTTCTTTCTTTTTCTTTTATAAAATACCTTTTTAAAAGGTTGCTTTTGACCTCTTGTCTACCTTCAATATAGACTAATTTATTTCTTTTAATCGTTGGTATTCCCGTTTTATATATCCAAGAACTCTCTGATTTGTATCATTTGCAATAATTTTAGTATCACTCAGTTATTTGAAGCTTGCACTTTCGCCTTGGCCATGCACTTATCAGCATAGTTTACTTTTGGCAATTTCCCGACTAGAGGTTTGTAGATTCTGAGCAGCGTTTACTAAGCTTTCCACAACAAATTTGTCCTCTCAGATAAAAATTGTCTTTTTCGGTATCTTTGGGCATAACTTGGCGTTTCGATTTGTACGAATAATTCTTTCCGTTGATAGTTTTCCTAAGCAAGGTTCCAAACTGTTTAACAGTCTTGTCCAGGCTACAGTCAAGCAGGTAGTCTATATATACCCGTTTGTTCTTTGGTCTTTTGAAGACACTAAAAAGTTCTATTTACCCGTTTAGGAACACAGCATAAACTGAATTCATTAAGTAGCGATGATATGTACTGTGCATTGATTTTCAATGGAGGTCGGTTACACGCTCTTTAGATAGTGTTAATCTATATCGCTATATGTGAATCAACTAATAATAGTCGAGTTAACCCCCACTACCTAAGACTCATATGGTCCCAAAATGTTCATCACTCTTACCCTTTTTATTTGACCAAAAATCATGGGATCTCATCAGTCACAGAAACACGACCAATCCTTGTTATCGACTCATTTTTTTGTTCATGCTACTGTTCAGTATGCATGTTCTTATCGTTCTCTTTGTAATTCAATACTATTTCCCTTTTTTGTACTAACTGTAATGTTTCTAAAATCCTGCCACCAGTTAACTGTTCTTCAGAAAGTGCGTTCGACATTTATTGTATTACTAGCCCGAGACTTCAATGCTCAGGTCGGGCGTCTAGGCACAGAAGAGAATCGTTTAGGTGGCCGATGGGGACTTGTTGGTCGCAGGACAGATCACGGGGACCGCCTACTGCAACTGCGCACAGACCACAACCTATTTCTAGCTAGCACTAACTCTCGGCACAGTCATCGCCGATGTGCCACCTGGCGTCCTCCATCTGCATCTCAAGCCTGGATTCAGATTGTTCACAACGCGATCAGCTACCACTGGAGTGGTTGTGTACAAGACTGCCGCTCCTTTTGGAGTACCTATCTGGACTCTGATCATGCCCTGGCTTGCGTCATTGATTGGTGTCAGCACATTGGTTGCAACTTCTGTTGTAAGTAAGTTTCGAACCGAACTAGCTTCTAGGCTAGCTACCATTACACCGAAAAGTATAGATGAGCATTAGTTGCATCTGCATAACGCCATCAAAATGGTGAGTAAAGTCGCTTGCGGCTTCGCGAAACGTCCCGCTTATAAGCACTGGGTTTCTTCAAGCTCCTTACAACTCATTGAAGCCCGTCGGTCTACTCCGGGTGACCGTGAGTTTGACCACAAACGAAAGCTGTTACGTAACGAAATCGGGCAAAGCTTGCCCCCAAATGCTCTGGTACGGCCGAGAGTGGGGAAAGCCCACTCTCCCTCTCCAAATGCTCTAACATGGCCACGTTCATACAACCACTGCCAGGAAAGTCCTACTCACTGCCTTCTCGAAGCATTACTTTTATTTACGAAATTGAGAGGACGAAAAGCCGGGTTGGTGGACATGGAGAGTCCTCCTAGGGGAGTTGGAAAACCCTCATTCCAAACCAATGGTGCACATGGGCTCCAGTATCCTGAGTGAACAAATGGCGTATGAAACAATTGTTGGTCACCGGCTACCATGGGACTGCATCTCCTTACGATGTTCCACTACTTTGTGGATCAGACCTTCAGGTCGAAGGCTCCGGGTGTGGCTCCCTAAGAAAACCACCTGCTTCGGTCTGGGCACCCGGGCAGTATCACAGCTCTCACACATAGCAAATGAGATTTGTGTGGCACATATGTATTTGGTGCCTCCTTATACCAATATCTATGTGTTAAAATAAATAAATAATAATAATAAAGCTTGCGTAAGGACCGAGAAGCCTGGTGGTCGGAACGTGCTAATGAGCTGGAAGCGGCAGCTGCATCTGGTAACTACCGGAAGCTCTTTCAACTCATCCGAGCCACTGCCAGCAAGAAGTCTAGTGTGAGCGAAACAATCTGCGAGGATGACGGGATGCCAATCACTAACATCCATCGACGTCTTGGACGATGGGCAGAATTTTTCGAAGGGCAGTTCAACTGGCCTGCTGCTCCAGCAACATCGTTCAGACTGTCCTACCCTCCATTGCCGGTGACGACTGATCCACCAAATGAGGAGGAAGTCCGCAAGGAACTCCAACTCTTGAAGCTCTACAAATCACCTGGCCCAGATGACTTACCTCCGGCTCTTTTTAAAGATGGTGGTGACTTTTTGACTAAGGAACTAACTGTGTTGTTTACAAAGGTCTGGGAGCTAGAGAGTGTACCAACGTCATGGAATGAGTCGATAGTTTTCCCTATCTTTAAAAAGGGTTCACATCGTTCCTGTAACAACTATCGGGGGATAAGTTTACTTCCGATTGCGTCCAAGCTATTGTCTTCTGTCATACTTCGTAGGTTGTTCAAAACCCGAGAAAGATTGACTTGCGAGGAGCAGGCTGGGTTTCGTTTTGGTCGAGGATGTATCGATCATATCTTCACCCTCCGCCAAATGTTAGAACACGCCATACTTATCACAGGCCAACAATCGTAGTGTTTCTTGACATCAGGGCTGCCTTCGATTCGTTGGACAGGACTGTTCTCTGGGATTGTCTATGGAAGAAGGGTGTGCCTGAGAAGTTTATTAACATCTTAAAGGCCCTATATACAAACACCTCAGGTAGAGTGAGGGCATATAACCATCTTTCTCCATTGTTCCATTCGAGCAGTGGGGTTAGACAGGGTTGCCCAATCTCACCATTCCTCTTCAACTTTGCCATCGACGACATTCTGGAAACAGCTCTGGTGGATGTAAGTAATGGTGGTGTGGATCTGTTGCCTGGAGAAAGACCTATCGACCCTGAGTATGCAGACGATATTGTCTTACTGTGCGATAATGCCCAAGGCATGCAATCCGCACTTAATCAGTTGGTAATCAGTGTCCGTAGGTAAGGTATGTGCTTTGCACCTTCGAAGTGCAAAGTACTTCTACAAGACTGGCAGGATTCTAATCCTGTACTCACCTGGATGGTGAGCAGATAGAAGTAGTCGAGTAGTTTGTGTATCTAGGTAGCTGCATAAGTGCTGGTGGTGGCGTAAGTGATGAGATCGATTCATGTATAGTGAAAGCCAGAGCGACTTATGCTAATCTGGGCCATCTTTGGCACCTTCGTGATGTTAGTCTGGCTGTAACAGATCGGATCTACAACGCGTCGGTGAGAGGAGTTCTGCTCCATGATTGTGAAACCTGACCTCTCCGAGTTGAGCATGTTAGACGTCTCTCTGTGTTTGATCATCGTTGTCTCTGAAGGATTGATGACATCCAGTGGCAACACCATGTTAGTAATTCAGAGGTTCGGCATCGTGTGTTCGGGCACAGAGACGATAATGCAATTGTTGTCACCATCTTCTTCTCCCCATTCTCATTGTTTTGTGTGGCGCATATTTTGTGCCCCCTTGTACCAACATTTATGTGTTCAAATAAATAAATAAATTCCAAAATATAAATATGTGAGCTCGTATCGTATTATAATTTCAATTACGTGAGTGTTTATATGAAAGCAAATGACAAAATACAGGAAATCTGTTATAAAATTAACCTTATTAATATATCAGTGAATAAAAATGTTAAATATTACTAAATACTGTGTACTATATCTTTAGAATTTCCAGTTAGAAGTTGTTCGAGGTGAAGACATTGGCAAATTTTTCCGCGGTGATTCCTATATTGTTTTAAATACAGAAAAAGTTGGTGATGAACTGTTGTATGATGTTCATTTTTGGATTGGACGTGAAAGCACTGCGGTAAGTTTATGTGCTCACATACTTACTTACTTACACCTCTTACCCCCAATAGAGCATAGTCTTCCAACCAGTATTCTCCAGCCCACTGTCCTGGGCATTCTTTTCCAGTCCTACCCGATTGTTGCTAATTCTTCTCATGTCTGTCTCCATTTTTTGGCGTAATGTGTTTTTTGGTCTTCCTCTCTTCCTTTGGCCTTGAGGATTCCATGTGAGGGCTTGCCTTGTGGCGCAGTTGGATGATTTCCTCACTGTGTGTCATATCCACTTCCAGCTCTCCCTGATTTCTTCCTCCACTGGCATCTGGTTTGTGTTCTCACACAGTATATTGTCGCTAGTAGTGTCTGGCCAACGGATCCGAAGTATTTTGCGTAGACAACTGTTAATAAACACTTGTATCTTGTGAATGATTGCTTTTGTAATTCTCCAAGTTTCCACCCTGTACAGTAGAACTGTCTTGACATTTATATTGAAGATTCTGACTTTGCTGTTGGCTGACAGTTGCTTTGAGTTCCAGATATTCTTCACTTGTAAATATGCTGCTCTTGCTTTGCCGATCCGCCCCTTCATATCTGCATCAGATCCACCGTGTTCATCAATGATGCTACCCAGGTATGTAAAGGTTTTTAAATCTTCCAAAGCCTTTCCATCAAGTGTGGTTCGCTTGGTTCATATTGTTTTGTATCGGAGATTCTTGCTTTTCCCTTTGTGTATATTGAGACCTACTTCTGTTGAGGCTGCTGCTACACTGGTCATCCTCTGCATTTGTTGTTGCGTGTGTGATAGATGAGTCAAATCATCTGCGAAGTCTTGATCGTCCAGCTGCATCCTAGCTGCCCTCTGTATCCCGTGTTTATATATATTTTAGATGTAGACAACCTGACCTAGTTGTTTTTAAAAAATCAGTATGTCGTAGATAAAGTTAATCTCCAACCAGTAATTTCTAGTCACAATTTACCTAAGGATCAGACAGAATTATGTTTGTTTTTTTGCTAAGTGAATCAGCATATGAAAATTTAGGTTTTTCTGGAATTTTGTGACATTTTACCAATTTCTCTCTAAGTAATTCTCACGGTAGTTATGTTCAAATAACGGGAAATGACGAAGGCAGCCACTGAAACACTGAATATTTCTCAGGGGTTTCTTCACAAAGACTTTTTAGTTTTCCTTAAATTCCAACCAAGTATTTTTAAACTTCATACTTTAACGGTATCGACGGTCTACATGGCCACTATTAATCCTTGAAATTCACTGTGCTATGGAAATTCTACCCAACTTTAAAGATATTATCAGGAAGTGTTGATAACAAGTGTATGTTTTTAATGTTTTACGACGTTAAGTAGCATTTTCATCCTAGTTTACGAAATCTCAGCAACACGCACGCTCACATAATGGTGTTCATTCTATTCTCAATCATAAGGTTTACAACATACGACCTAATCTCCTTGAACATCAAAGTATTGGCGCTATTTGAGCCTGTTGATTCTAAACTTAGTCTAGCAGAGGTTGCGGTTCTAACATGTTCAATGACGATCAGAATTCATTGATGGGTTTTTTTCTTATTGTTGATGATTCCAAATTATGTCTTAGCATACGGAACTCTTGATACATATGTAAGTATCTAATCAGAAATATTAATGGCATAGTTTAGAGGGTTTGAAATCCATATCATAGTAACTAATGTATCAGAATAAAATAGATTAAAGTATTGGTTGTCCAAAGTACTGTTTAAGCAGCAGATGACAGAAACACCTTGGGATATGTTATAACTTAACTTTGAACACAGTTTAGTGTATTTCAAAGAGACGTTTTCCTAAATGAACTTGGTCATTTACAACAGATACAATTCAGTAAGTTTTACTAGGTATGCATTTCGATCACATTCAAAACAAAATGACAGCTGATAAAGGGACGTTTGGAAAACTAATTAATGAAGAAATAAGCAATTATTATTAATTCATACATCATCCATAATTACAAAGCTGTACTGGAAAATACATTCATTGGTTGTAGCTTAGTTTCTAATTTTTATGATATGAAAATCAAAATTTTAACCCATTTTAGGATGAATACGGAACAGCGGCTTATAAAACGGTTGAATTGGATACTTTTCTTGACGATAAAGCAGTTCAACATCGAGAAGTTGACGGATTTGAGTCTGATTTGTTTAAAACTTATTTTAATCGCTTTGAGTAAGTTCAGTGTAAATTTAATTTTGTTGACTAAACATCATTATAAATCTTTGCTCAAATTCACTTGATAAATTCCCCCAAAATATGTTTCCAGAAAAACCGTTTAATTCTGTTTTATACGTCATTAGGCGATGAAAATCTTTAATTTGGACATCAAGATTTGTAAAACTGAAGAAGGAAAAGCTTACTTATCAGTTGGACGATTTCGTAAAGTAGACTAACGTTGAAGCTTTTTCTAGTTTTATATTTTATGTACACCCGTCTATTTAGTTGGAGACTAAGGTTCGATGCCATGCTTCATGCTATTTAGGACTTACTAGTTTACTGTGACATTCACTGATCCCAGTGAGACTGGGATTCACGAAATTCCAAGCCATAAGCAGATGGGTTTTCATTAATGTGTTTAGGCTATAACCAACCAACTGAAGTCACTAGTTGAGTTACATGTTACATTATCTAGCCCATGGTTCAGACTGAATTCCATCAATCAAGTATTATTATTATTATCTTATTTTGGTAGAATAACGAAAAGACGTAATCGATCTGAAATGTGTGGTGTATTTGCGATGTACATTTTGAACAGTCTAGTCACACATACTTTTCAAGGCAGTCGGTACGAAAATTCATAATGATTTACTTGAACTTTCATTTAATTGGCCTTTATTAATTTTCACCTAAAATGCCTTGAGAAGTATATTAGTGACCAGATTGTTCAAAATGTATAGCACAAATACATCACACTTTTAGGATCAACTTTGTTTTTTCACTGTCCTATCAAAAATTATAAAAAGGACCAATTGCTTTAAGTATTTTGTATTTGGTGGCGAAACATAATCGATAGGAAGTTTTGTTAGTTATCACAACTGGGGTTTTTCTGCAGTATGGCAGGAACTCCTATTAGTTTTATTTCCTTTCATGTAAATTACTTTATCAGAAACACTTTGTTGTGATGCCCGAAGAGGTCAATACAATCAACTGTTTTAAGAAATTAGTAGTTACGATTTCTTCATTTAAGTGTGAATAGTAGTACCAATATTTTTAAAACATTTTGTCCCAGATGTACGTCTCTTCTTGGGATTCTTTAACTAGGTGGGATGGGATCCCAGTATTGGTGTTCTGATTAAGACTTTCATTTGCCCATTTTTTTAAACAAAATCACATTACCTATCATGTTAATGTGTAACGATAGCCACCAGTGATTTAATGTAAATGGAAAGAGTAATTCTGATGTGCAGTTACATCCAACGGATGGGCCTTGAGATAGTTAGTCCCAAAGTTGAATTTTAATTATTCGTTGGAACTTTAAGTTCCATTACTGAAAGATTTAAAACATAATTTTCAACGGAATGCCTTCGAGGTACTAGGGAAGCAATTTTCATCAAACTTTCAATCTCAACAGATATTCATGTGTAAAAATATGCATGCAGCCAAAAGAACGAACAAACACATGCCGTAGTACCACATCGCATAGCATTATGCTATAAACATGTTCACTTTTAAAACAATTAGTCCCTTTGATAAATTTGTATAATGTGATGAGAAGACGAAAGTTATCAGAATTAGGTGATACACTTACGCAATATATTTGGAACAATCTGATCACACACATACTTCCTAAGACATTACGTATGCAAAAATCAAAGGTCAATTCGACAAACTAAAACGTAAGGGGAACAAAGATAATAATGAAGTACACAATGTGAAGACCGCGCTGAATAGTAGATCGGTATTATCAGGGTTGGTTAAGAGTAAGAACAAATTGCTTTTGAACACATAAAAGAGGTTTCAGTTTTCGTATAGTTAATGTCTCAATAAACTTCAATCTTCTTTCGTGGAAACTTTTGTACAAAATTGCAGAAGCTGACTTGATATCAACCTTATGACCGATTGCAATCAATTGTTCGAAATGTAAATATATCACATAATTCTGGTGGCCATCTTATCGCATTATCTAAATTTATTAAAAGGACTAATTGTTTTAAATTTCTGGCGATAATTCGTATCGATTGAACGCTATATTAGTTTCCTAAGCTATTCTGGTACCCCGAAAGCTAGAACTGCACAGCGACTTGAACACCAGAGAGGAGACGCAAGTATGAGAGAAAATACTTTACTCCGAGGTTCATTTTATTACAGAAAATATAGGGTTTTTATAATATATCTAAATGTCCTTGGGTCCCTGGAATATTCTGGAGTGCTACCAAACATAGTAGCACTGTAGTAGCAAACCAATCAGAGCTTCCGCATGTGACGTTTCGCTACCTTGATATTTCTGGCCAAGACTCCAAATGAACGCTGATTGGACGAAACACTTAGTGTTTCTTGATGCTTGCTTGTCTTTTGCAAGCGATTTCTGGATCACCCCAACATCTGGAAAGAAGAATTCCTATTTAAAGGTTAGATGAACTTGTTAAACTTGTGTGCAAAATTATATCTGAACGAGTGGAGCTAGACTTTTCAACTCCTGTTTGCCAAGTGAAAAATCCCCAAATCAGTTACAAAAGAATTTACGTCCAAGTAAATCACAACCAAATATTTCATCTTATTATACTGATAAAATGGTATGTAAATAATTGCCAAGATGGATTAATCACATTAACTGAACTGCATATTCAAGCATTGGCTGCATAAACAGAAATGTCTAGTTTAACATATCAAATTAATCGATTTTTGAAGTACTGTCATTTTGAAAAAGGAAGAATGGATCAGAAAAAATCTGGAAAAATCTTTCTGTAATCATAATAATAATGTCAATTCACTCCCAATCAATCCCAATACATATATCACTATAGGTAGTCCTTTAGATCTATTGCTGCCTAATGTACTTATGGGGTATGTGGGAACCCTAGTTGAAGATTCAATTTAGAAGACGTGTCTTTATAAGCGGTACGTGGATGACATCATAGTCACTAGTGATAAACATGAGGATGTGAACCGCTTGTTAGGTGAACTCAGCACAAGTCAAAAGGATATTTCTCTTAAATGCAAAGATCTGAACGATCAGCTCCCTTTTCTAAATATACTGATTAGTATAAGAGATGGTCCCATCAAACGTTCTGTCTATGGAAAGCCGACATGGACGGAACAATATCTTAGTTATCATAGTCACTGTCCAGTCTAGTACGAGTTTGTATTAATAAAGGGCTTATTCAATAGGATCAATCGTATGTGCACTAGAGATACTATTGAGGAAGACTTCAAGCTTTTAAATGAAACATTGATAAATAACGGTTATTTACTGAAGTTCATAAACCATTGGAAAGTTAGCAACATGATTAGACTTGCAATGTTTTCTGCACCCAAAAGCGTGTCTATATTATCCTACATTCAGAGGCGATTCAAATACTTCTCATGTTGAAACGAATACTTAAATTAGCTATCAACCGAACATTTTACTCAGCTCAATTTATCATCATCGAAAGGTCAAAGTTTATTTTTCGCCAAAATGCAAACAGCATGTAAGCGATTTTACCACATCCCATTGCGCCTATCAATTTACATGTATGTGCAGAAACATGTACAAAGGGAGGAGCAATTGCGATCTGAAAGTAAGGGATGGATGCGCACACCTAAGTGACATACTAAAACGAATGAATTCCAATGGTCAGAAATGCCGCGCAATAGACGAAATCTAACTCCATTGCGAAACATTCGGTTGAAACCGATCATAAGATTGATATCAAGTCAGCTTCTGCAATTTTGTACAAAAGTTTCCACGAAAGAAGATTGAAGTTTATTGAGACATTAACTATACGAAAACTGAAACCTCTTTTATGTGTTCAAAAGCAATTTGTTCTTACTCTTAACCAACCCTGATAATACCGATCTACTATTCAGCGCGGTCTTCACATTGTGTACTTCATTATTATCTTTGTTCCCCTTACGTTTTAGTTTGTCGAATTGACCTTTGATTTTTGCATACGTAATGTCTTAGGAAGTATGTGTGTGATCAGATTGTTCCAAATATATTGCGTAAGTGTATCACCTAATTCTGATAACTTTCGTCTTCTCATCGCATTCTACGAATATTGGCTTTTCCTTGAACTAAAAGGTATCTATTTTACCTTGACCAGTTCTCAGATATCTCTTCTTTCTCATTATAATTCTAGAGATTAATAGTTAAACACTGACTACTTTATTGGTTTAAATCATGTGGCTGCTCAGAAAATTCACATTGATGCAAATATCTCCATCATAAGTATAATTATTTTTGTTAATCAACAATTTCATTTAGTGATATCCCCCCTCTTTAAATAATCTTACAGATGTAAACAAAAAAACACGTGTTCTATTCCACGTGGAAGTAAACTGGTTATATGTTAATTAGTTGTTGTGTATTGCATTTCGTTACTCAGGGGGTGTTATTTACTAACACTAAACATGATAAGACTATCTCATTTAGTCAACAATAAAAGACAGACTGTTATTAAGTTAAAACAATGTTATTCTGTAACTACATAGATAAATTGTAAAGCTTTATAACATATTGTTAATGACATGTTGATCTCCAATCAAAATCAGTGGTAGTCTACTTTAGTAATATTATCGATCTGATTTGATTGCATTTTATGAGATCTTATTGGTCTTCTGTTTGTGTAGTGTATCAAAATTGTCAGTAAATTTAATTATTTATTACTCATAAAATTTCTTTGAAAATTTTACTAATGTCTCAATTCCTGAATGAAATTGACAAGGTACCAAATGAATTATTATTAAGAATTTTTCAATATCTTAATGGAAATGATTTAATAACTTGTACATTATGCAATCAACAATGGAATGATTTAATAAGCAATGACAAATATATATGGTTGTCTATTTTTGAAACTGAAATGAATACTGGTTGGTTATGGTTGAATAAAGAAATGGTTCATATATTAAACTCATTTAATTTGATACATAAAAGTTTATTGATAGAATTCAATGAAAATGAATCAGTGGATAAAAATAATCAACAGAAATTTAAAAACTATCGAAAAATCACTGAACTAATCACACAAGTATTGAATAATCCTGCTTGTTTCATGAAGAAAATATATTCATACTACACTAACGTATACAAAATGGAACAAGAAATATTACAAACACGGATTATTCCCTATTTAAACTCAATGAATAATGAAGAGATTTGTTTTGATTGTATAATATTAGGACCAGCTATTGATACAGTTCATTTAATTGGAGGATTTATGCATACACTTTTAAGTTGGATAGATTTAGCTTTAACAATGAATAGACAATCCATTAATTTAAAAAAAGTGCATAGAACTACTACTCCATGGGCTGGACAAGGATTTATATTACGTTTACCACAATGTTTATCATTGAGCGATAAAGAGAACTCTAAGGGTATACTTTTTAATGCAACAATTTTACATTCACGTAAGCATATGATACGTTCTAGGTATCGTTATGGTGGTAGTCGATTGTTTGGTAATTGTTTAGTTGAAGCACCAATAACCGATCAACAACCAGTTGGTAGTGTAAAATTGACTCATTGTACTACTAATGCAATTAGTTCAACTCAAATTGTGTTCTATGTTATTGATATACGAAAAGAAGATGGTGGTTTGTTAAACAATGAAAATGGTGATACTATATCTCTTATAAATCCATATAATTCTGATAATGAAAGATGGAATGAAATACGCGTTGAATTAGATGCTTTAACAAATTGTATGAATTCAGAACAAATATTAATTGTCTTAGGAGTTGGTAGTCAAAATAATAATATAAATAATTACAATCTTATAGAACTTGCTTCAAATCTTGGCTGTGATCGTGGTATTTGTTCGGATAAAGTCGTTTGTGATGAGAATGATAACAATCATGAGAATATTGACGCTAATCTTGTTAAACCATTATTGAATAAACCACACATAAATTGGAGATTATGGTGTACTTCAATAAATGAATTAACTTATACCAATTTGGAAGAGATTTTTTTCTGGACAGCTATAACTTATTTGAATAAATCACATATTGTTAAAGTGATTTCAACTGAATCGTTAACAAAGCAAATTAAAACTATACAAAATCGTATAACTAATTATTATCGTGTACTTTCGACTGATAAATAACAATGGGATTTCCCATAATTCTTTGCTATTTATTTTTATTATCTTGTTTTGTAATGACATTCTTTTGAGAAGCTTCTTTTGTGTATAAATCTATCAAAAGTTGTTTGTACTTCATAGCTTGTTTCTTTTTCTTAACAATAATGTAAATTCTTCCTGAAACTATTTTGTACACCAATCCAGTTCTTACTTTCTTACAAAATAAAACAGAATTACTTATGTTGGCTAATGATTCGTCAGGATGTATCCCACAACTTCAATTCTACACAAAATAATCATATTAATATCTTGTGACTGGCTGAAACAATTGTAAACAAATAGGTCATCACCATGATCTATGAATATACATTCGGAAATCAATATAAATTCGCACGAAAATACCTAGTTCTCTGTTATTTTCAGTTTTCATAGGAAATTATTTGAATCATATGAATAAAATGAAAATCATGATATATCGATTTTTTGTTTTTAGAAAAATATAATCATCCATTTTTGAGATGGTAGAGGAGATTTGTAGCTTAGGTGAATGATTTGGGTGGGGTTTCTTTTCTCTGAGCTGGAGAGAACAAAACTGCAAACATCAATTTTGTCCACATATTAGTGTTAGTGTGTAATGGTTAAAATATTTGTCTTATTGTTTAAGTAGATATTTTTGGGATGGTTAAAATCATGACAAACCGGTGTGCAAGAAAATAGTTCTGAATAAAATGATAATATTGATTTAGGATTATAACATTTTTAGTTAATCACTATCTTAAAGTTTAGAATTATGTTTAGTTAAGCATTTCGTTTGATGTCTGCCTTTATCAGGTCTATGGATATATCATGTTTAATTTACTTATGCCATATGTCACTTAATATTTTTCATCACCAATCACAGTATTGATATTCTGATGAATATAGAGATTTTCACTAGACTTATGATTTTACAGTTTGGTATAAATGTACAACTTTGAGAAGAAAAGATTGACAAACAACAGTTTTTTTTAGTCATTCAATTAATTCATTAGTTATTTAATAGAAATATTAATTTTGATTTATTTATATGATCACATCGTGTTACAAAGACCTGAACGTTGAATTTACCGAATGTTTGTTCAACTAGTAACCAATTTATTTTTAAGCTAAACGTTTGTATTCTTGTAGCTACATTTTGATGTCAAACAAACTATCCGATATTTGGTTCTTCATAGATACTCAACAGGGCATTACATTGTGGGAAAATTTAATATTTTGGAGATTTTAGTGTTTTCTCTCCAACTTTCTATTTTCATTACACTTTAGTCGTAAGTGAAAAGATCATATGATGAAAAAAGTTTATAAATAATTACGTAGTTATGATTAAAAACACGATATTCTTATCAAATTTCATGGTCTGATAAATCATTAGCAACGGAATGCAAGAACTCAAAGATAAATGAGATTGTGCAATGTGTGTTTGTGCTCAGTGATAATAATTCAACCATTATCACCATCTTGAAACAGCAGCCTCTGTAGTTTTTTCATGTGTAGCCAAAGTGATCCTGGTGACTTCCGCACCGGACATTATTAGCCGACTCTTGGACTTGTCGGGGAAGACAAAGAAGTGGTCAGTTTACGACATGTCTCTGTAGTGTTTTAGAGATGGTACAGCTCAAGAACTTCAGACACTATCATACATGGCTCAAAACAGACGCCATTGGCGATCTTGCTATAGTTTTCGTTAAAATTCTTTATAAAAATATTAGAAACTGGACGAATTCTTCTTGGTCATATTTTTATTGAACTGTTACTTTTAATTCATTTATTTTTATGCATTTATCTGCTTTTAACTATACACCTTCCTCTTTCTCTTCACTATTTCATTTCCCTTATATACGTTGGTCTCCAGTTGTACCCGTATTTTTGCATGTTAAATAAACATATGATTTAATGATATGTAGAGAAGTAGGTTTCTAACCTGTTGCAAGGCGATAAACACGTGAATTTGTTTGAATTGCTAGCGATAACCTAATGAAATAGGTTCATCATGAAAACCTTTTTAAATTCACTGCTTTCTGTCTTTTTTTTTAAAAAATAATCTAAATATAGAACTCTTGCAGGTGGATATGCAAGCGGATTTAATCATGTAAAACCGAACGAATATAGACCTCGTCTTTTACTGTTTCATTCAGTTGATCGTAAAAATATGGAATTGATTGAAGTGCCATTTTCAAGACGTTCTTTGGATTCAACAGATGTCTTTATTTTGGATATGGGTACTGAAGCATATCAGTGGAATGGACGTGGGTGCACTAAAGAAGAAAAATTCAGGGTAAGGCCATTAATGTTTTTATATATGAAAGTCATCATCAATCTGTCAAGATCCACTTAAGGAAAATGCAATATGTCACTACCCAATCTTTGATTTTCTCAAGTTGTTTACATAGCTAGTGTTTATACGAAACTATATGGCTGATTTGTAGCACTTATAGTCTGTTATCTCTCCTTTGTACATCAATTTTCATAGTGTTACTTTTTTGTTCTTGTTTAACACAATTATTTTCTCGTGTATATAATGTGTTCTCATGTATCAGTGCGTTTCATAATTGCAGAATTTGATTTACTTTTTGGTGTTGACTCAGATTAATTTTTGTTTCAACTGTACTATTTGAGTAAACTTATGTACCCGAAAATGAAGAACGTTAAATGCAAAACTCATCAATGCATATATATTCAGCAAGAACACTGTGTCATAAGAATGATTTCATCTTGTCATCAATCTATGCAAAAGATAGGACACGTAATTGCAAAAGATTACCATAATCTTATTTTATATAATTTATTGACAATAGAATAAATTACAGGTTGTATTTAATACTTTTCCACATTTCAATATGTCCATGTAAAGAAATATTGAAACAAGAGTATAATTATCTGTCGTCACTCATTCGTCTGTATATAAGCTCTAATTGTTTCCTAACTAAACCTTAATGATAAGGTAAATAACTATTTATGAACACTTGAATCAATAATATACTGAGATAAATAGATTAACTTAATGTTGATGTCTTTGTATTTCATATAGGTTAACTGATTGATTATGTTGTAAGCAGTTATCAAGAATATTCTGTTTATTGGTCGGTTTTGATTCCAAAGGGTCAAATAATAATAAACACCATTACTCGATAAGTGATATTATTAAATGGATAGTTCAGTACAGAGATCTATTCACTTGCTCATAAGGAAGTCATTTATCCATATTTCTACTAGCCATTAATGCTGTCGTAAGGCCTTTACCTCCAAAACCGTAAATTACACATTTTACATTTGGTATTGAACAATTATGAAGATCAGTTCTGAACTAAACTCAAGATGTAGTTTCTCAACTGTGCATTCGGTATAATAATGAAGATAGATGAGGTCTATTATAGTGTTTAAATTTATGTTACGAATAACAGATCAATGATATCGTTATTCATATTTCCAAAATACTCGATGTATTTTTAGTGGGTTAAAAGTTTAATTGGCAAAGTTTGTTATTCTTGATGTTATTCAGGCAAGTCAGTTTTTACAACAACTGGAGTCTGATCGAAATGGAAGGTGTAAAACTGAGGTGACAGATGAAGATGGTTCTGAGGAACATGTAAGTTGCTTATTTCTAAAACATCTAATTGTCTTGTCAGTAGACGTAAAAGTCACTTCAAAGTGTGTTTTCTGCTTTGTTGTATAGATGTTTACGAGAATTCATTAACTTAGTCGGCGTAGTCTAGTCATACTCATGTTTTTAGAGATATTAACTTAGGTGAGTGTTATAACTTGGAACCCACTAACCAATATCACGTGCCTAGTTACCATTCAGAATCCATCTAATTTGGTCTGTTATTTACTCTGTAGTTTAGTGTTTTTAACTTGGCTAAATACACTGAATCAGCAATAATAACCCCAAGTCAACAACTAAGTTCCTGTTGCCTCACTATTTACTAGCTCCTCTCTATGTCCTGTATTTGAGTTCATAAGTCAACAACCAGCCTCTACCATATCTGTATTTCAAACAAACGTGGTTTATATACAGGCATATATAACTTCACCATACCGTAATATAAAAAATAAATTATACGCAAACAAGCCATAAGTGGCTGTGAGTAGGGGAGACTGTAAATAATCGACTGGAAACAAAATAGGAATAGTCAGTCGTATGACACTAGTTGATGAGTTAACTGAAAGCTTATACTAAACAGAATACATAGACACAGTAATCCAGTCTCTTGATAATTATAAAGTAGGGATATGTATAATAAGGATGATACATAAATTAGCTCTGAGAGCTTCCATTTCTTAAATCTTCGTTCAGACATAACAAAATTCATGTATGATACGTGAATAAGCCAAAAGTGGCTGTGAATAGGGGAAACTGTAGGTAACAGACTGGCAACAATTTAGGAACAGTAGGTCGAATGACAGTAGTTTATGGGTTAACCAAAAGTTTATAATCATGGGAAAACATATACATAGTAATCTAGTCATTCAGTAATTACTGAACAAAAAGTAAAATCAATAATAGTTCTAAAAACCGTTTCCAACTTCTAAAATATTCGTTCCGTTATAATAATAAAGTACCATATCGAAATGAATCATGCTCATAGTAACTGTAGATGCCATAAGAGCCATGACAGCATTATCACTACTAGTCACCTGATATCTGCATTGTATGGATTATAAGTGTTTTTGAATTTTCATCCATCAGAAACGAAAGCATTATGATGGCTTTGGAGATTTCACGCTTTTTAGTTGACGTAGTTATCATAATCATATTAGATGTTAACAAAGCGTATTTGCGATTCTTCAATACAACATATTGGTCTAAAGGTTAAGGGTTTGTGTACAAAACTGAAGGTCTATCCCTGGTAGTGGGGTCGTGAATGTGTACTCCCGGGTTGTTCTATACTTCGATAAAACGACTGTCTAGTGCTTTCCAGTTTTCAATGGTGGTTTTAACCAAGATCAGTTCATAGTTTACATTATGGGAAGCCTACAATCTCCACAAACCCTCCATACTAAAAAGGAATTTACATTTCAGCTATAATATTGAGACAGTGTGTTATAACTTAAATTAACTAAACAAACTTCAAGTTTTTCAGTACCCCGTACTTACCAACTTATGACTAGGACCTGAAACAATTTGAATTTTATCTTCAATGTAAGAATAAACTAGGAAACTAATTTCCGCTTTAAATAAAGCAACAGATTACTTAAAACGATTGACGTTTAACTATTAGAACTGAATCTTATCCAATCGTTACAATCGTTTCTTACTGTGAACAGTGATTTACATAAGACCTAAAGAACACAAAATTCTGCCTATTCTTCATCTAGATCAATTTCATTTCTGCTTAAAATGTATTATTATTATTATTATCATTATTATTACTAAAATCTGTTTATTATAAAAAGGGACAGTTGCATACAATAATCATTGGTATACATGTGTTTCTGTTTCATTCTTTTTTTTTCTTTGTTTTATACAGAAAAAGTTCATTAGTTTATTGCCAGACGTTGCAATAGAAAAGAAAGTTGAACAAAAAATAGGCAAGAAAGTAATTTACAGGTAATTGTTTCTAAATATTTATCTATGTAAGAGTTAATCATATCGTTTATTGATCATTAGATGACCACTTTCACGCCCATATTTAATATTAAAGTGGAATATAGTTGATATTATATCCGCGGTCCTACTTTTATATCTTCAGCGCCGCTGCTGTGTTTGTAGTGGGTCTTTGTTAATGTCCATGGTTGTCGTCGCTATTACGTACGTATAAACTCTGCTGAGTTCTCAGTCTTACTGCTTATACTTTGAGACTCGAATCATTACGATTGCCATGATGCAAAGTAAGAACATACAAAACTCATGCAATGAAGATTTATTGACTCTTCAAAAACACGTCACCAAACAAGTCCTCAAAATCACATCGTTGTTTGACTAAAATACAATTATTTATTTATCGTATTACACTTAATAATACCACATTGGGAGAAATACATGGAGTTACTGTAAAAATACAGGGAATGTACTTGTCAAACAAACCGAAAGTCCACTCTAGTTATATTGAACAAAGTTGTTACTGAATTGATACAATAAATATTGACCTAAAGAAGTTCTTTCTCACCCGTCATATCAAGTTAAGTTCAAACAATTTGATTAATGAGTAATTACCGTCTAAGAATTTGTGACTAAACAATTCTTCGACAAAAATCAATAAATATCTTTCCCACGTCACTTGGATTGACGAATTTCTGTTGATAAATCTGAGGCGAATTTATGCATTAAGTGTAAGTAGTCTACGGATTAGTTATCAATAGCTTTCTATTGTTACTTTATTGAACTTAACTGACTATTCATCACTACTACTAATAGCACGGTATCATTGTGGCTAATTCTAACTTCGACTCAATTAGTCTGTGAATTTGTTAAAGCTTGATTAAAGAATCGGCTGACCTACTTCAGTTTCCTAATTATGAATGATCGAGATTCTCCTAATACCCATTTGAACAAATATGGACTATATAATACGGCAATTGACACACACAATTCGATAGTTTAAATCATTGAGCTGTAATTTATTTGTGATTCAACATGTGACCACTTAGTGAATTATTATTGTGTTTAGTACTCACTTCTTAAACATTGTTAATCTAGCCCTGATGATACAATCTTATGTGAAACTATTTGCAAACTGAAAAAAGTTTCAACCCATCATCCTGTTGATTAGCATTTTTATTTAATCAATTCATGAAACATTGCTTGTTTATACCATCATCAGCTAGCAATAGGATATTAGTCAGAGAGATTCCATCCTTTTATGGATCGACCCATATAGTAATAAGAATTCACGTTCACATTCACACTTACTACATTATTTTTCACAAGAGTTCAGTTCACCAATATTTCAAACCTGTTTGACTCATTTTTCACCATACACTCAATTTTTTTCTTTTACTTTTCTAATTTTTTATAGAGTTTCAGATGAAAGTGGTAAAATGGAGATTTCACTTGTGTGTGAAAATGCATTGCCGAAAGCGTCCCTAACAGAAAACGATGTGTATCTCATTGACAGTGGACAATCTCTATTTGTTTATATTGGAGTGAAATGTAGTAGACGGGAAAAATTGGATGCATTATCTCATGCACATGTAATTCTTTTGAAATTTACAGTTAAAGATTTGCTTTTTTTAGTTTGATATTTTTGTAATAAAATTGTACTTCATTTGTAATTCATTTAATTAGGGATAATGAGTTCCGTACGACCTTAGGTCTCTGAGCAGGTTGATTTAATTATGAAGCTTCCATTATCACTCAAGACATCATTATTAGCACAAACTTTCAAATAAGAGTGATCTATTTTAATTTCTCCGTTTTATGACTAACAGCTTTTTCTGTCGACTTTGATGTTGGTTAGTTGCTTCTAACCCTTGTTTTGTCGTTGCTTGCATATTTATTTTGATTATCTTCACGCTATTGATCTGATTCTTAACGTTATGGTTTTACAAGATATTTCCAAATGTTCGGTAAGTTGAATGGATTTCGATATGTCTGTTGATTGCTGATTGAGCTCAGTGCTAAGCTTCTTCAAATTTTCTGGTCTTCTAAGTAGTCTCTCTGTCCAAGATCTCATCATTTTCGCAGTCGAACGCATATCTACAATTGTCTACATTCGCTTATATAAGCGAAGACAGCTAGTTGATGTCCTTGCAGAAGAATTCGAAGAGGGTGGCCAACTTGCCAGCCATAATGTTTCTCACAGTTGTAACGATTTATTTCGTACATGATGTTTAACTTTTATTCTTTTGTCATCTCATCCTTGTGTTTACATAAGATTGAGAGGAGTGATGAAGCTGGTTTGTAGGTTACCCCTATTCCAAGCTGCTTTAATAGTCTTGCGATTTCCGATATGTCCTTCATATGTGATAAGAAAATCCGTTTGTTGGTTTCCATGTTTCTTTAGTTGCTAGTCGTCTGACTCCACTATGATCGAATCGTTTATTATCTCACATAGCTTCGTATATGTTCTATCGAGTTAACGCGTTTCGAACAATCTGCTAAAAATGTATAAGTGTTTGGTTGATTTTCTTTAGTCTTCAACTTAATATTTTATTGAAATTACCTCAGTTACGAACCGAAACTTAAAGAACAAAACATTTTTTCTGATACATACTTTTGTATCATATTGGAACTAATTCATAATTCGTGTTATTATGGGTTGTATTACACACATACACACGTAGGCACAGGGATGTACTTACTTGTTACAAATATTGTTAGTACATGTGCTGTGTGTTACTCCATGACATTTATCAGAAGGTTGAATAATGTTAATTCAATAGAACCTATTTTGTACCATTTGAATATGTAAAGATATATCTACATGCTTTAAATATCCACATGGACTTACATTATATATGCATGCGTGTGTGTGTTTGTTTGATTATGCATTATACACTTATGAAAATGAGACAATCATATTTATAAGTACAATAAACAAATGAATTTGTAATTAACTAATCACATTAGATTGTTAGTGTTTGAGTGTGAATTTATTTTATGTCACTTTAGATATCTTTGAACAAAATAACTGGTAGGAAAAGCATTTCGTGTGATCTGTGTAAGCTGCTAGTATTCAAATTGACAATAGTTTAGCTGGTAAACTGATATCATCCGGGGAACTGTCTGTTAGTTGTACACATTCATGGCGACCATATGACATGAAATCCGATTTGTTGTCTCAGTAAAACACTTTGAAACCGATTATGAATTCTGATTTTCAACCAAATTTTAATACACAGCACTATTGTCATCGAACGTCATCGGTATGTTGCTGTTTAGGTCTGAAATTGAATACTTTAGTGAGATATGGTTTCATCTCTAAGCTAGTTGCTGTTGGCCACATAGCTATTCTTTACATATATTCCCCGAATTACTTCAGCTAGATACTTTTGAGGAGTTGTGCTTAACATCTCAAGAGTGAAAAATTTCACATTTTGTAATCTTAATTATCTCATCTTAATTATTTCTTGTTATTTATTTATTTTCTAATTATTAGGATTACTTACAAAAAACTGATCATCCATTCGCTCCAATCACTGTTGTATCGAATAATCGTAAATCGAAAGAATTGGATAAACTGCTCGAATAGTATTGAATAGCAGTTAGAAAAAAGGTGAATGATCATGTCAACTTTAATTAAATGGACTGAGATTTCAAGTAATATTAATTCTGTCAGTATTCATAATATCATTACAATATATTCTGAAGTTATATTTACACTTATAAAGTGTATTATTATATGCATGAATACTATTTATTTGTACTTTAATTATCTTATCTCGTTATTTATTCAACCAATATTGGTTTGAATATAATGTGTTATGTGCTTTCAAATAAATAATTGTTTTTCTTCCTAATGTGTTATGTCCTTATAGCCTGTTAATATATCACATGACTAAATCACCAATTAAGAACACCGACTTCCATGATCAGACCAATAACGCATTAACTAGTACGAGCAGCTTAGAGTCAACTCAGAGTTCTTGTTGATCCTCAGAGATAGTAGCTTCTCGCCTAAACCACTCGGTTCAATCCAGAACACCAATATCAGCTTCCGCTATATGAATCATGTATTACAAACATAAGCAGTTTATATACAAGCAAATCAGACTGTATCATACCACAAAACAAAAAAATAACGATTACAAAAGATCAGGCTCTAAGTATCCGTGAGTGTGAGATACTGTAACTGATAAATTGGGAATAGCTTGGGTTAATTTAATTTGGTTATTTATTCTCAAAAATGGCTTACACGGAGTCACGAAATGTCAGAAAATCTAATATATAACATTCTACCCAACGCTCGATTTATTTGAAATTCTCAAGTTAAACCTTGATAATGATAACTATAACTTAAGAATAGTAAGTCGTATAATAGTAGTCAATAGGTCAAACGGAAGCTTATAATATAAGGAATATTGAAATGCATATAATATACTTATTTAGTAGTTATACGATAAAAATATATATAATAAGTCCATAAATAGATCTTAGCAGTTACCATTCACTTCTTCCTATGGATATAACACAATGAATCTTGAATATTCCTTTCCATTGTATTTTGAGACTTGGTTTCCAGTTGGGTTTACTATAATTTCTAACTAATAACGAGTTGAGATCATTTTAATACAGATTGGATTTATTTTCTACTCAGTATTATGGTGGTTAACACACAATTTACAATTATGACAATACTTGAAGTCAAAATGTATGGGAAAACTTCATATTTAGCCAAGAGAAAGTTGAATTAGAACAACTCGGTAAACATAAGAATGAAACACAACATTGGGGCACTGGAAAGTTAGCAACTTGCAGGAGACGACAGTCAATCAGTGAGGAGTATAAGCCATGAGAAAATACAAACGAGGAAAAATGAACTCAGTGCGATCGTCTTAAGAAAAAAAGACTGACATTTAATAACAAAACTGCATACGTTTAGGTCTTCCTAACACTTTCTAAACAGAGTATGCATTTGCTTGTCGTCATCGTTCAAACGCACAGATAATGGATGCTGATGGGAAAGCGGGAGTTCTTGTATTTAAGTAGGTTAGATTTAGCGGACTGATCGCGTATGATTCCTTCAAATTTTGCCATAGTTTATGATCTTAGACCTAAGTTAGCCAACTACTTATTACGGACTAGCTGAAGTCGGCGCGAAGCAATCTAAACTATATGGGAAATCATTTTCATTAGTTAAGAAGAGAGATAAATCGCAGCTATTTGTTGAAGAGATCCATAAAGCTGGAAAAAAGGCTTTGAAAACATTGAGGAGCATCTTATCCAATATGCGTTCACTAGAATTTTGGACAGAAACATCTAGAAAGTGGAAAGTCACATATCGAGTTTGTGATTGGATGGTTAAACATACTGCTACTATGTTTAGTAGCGTTCCAGAATTTTCCGGAAACTCAAGGCCATCTTAAATACTATAAAAACCCTAGATTTTCTGTACATAAACGAACATTTTGAGTGAAGCGTTTCTTCTATATTTCGCGGCTTTTCTCCCGTGTCCAAGTTGTTGTATAGATCTAGCGCGAGGGTTACTAGAAGTTAGGAACCGAATCTAGCTTTCAATTAGAAGATTTATCACTAATAACACTATTGCAACTAGTTGTTATAAGTCGTTGGTTGTGTATGTAACACGAGATTTTAAGTTTCAGATTTGAACTTGGTGCCTAAGAGTTGCCATTTAATGTCGGCATTCACACCCGTTTGTGAGGCATACGTGATGTATAATAATTAACGTCTGAAATAAGGTTTTTCGAAATGTATTGTGTGTAAGAGTATTCAAAAGAACTATACTTTCATTGGCAGTTAAGTCCATAAAACAAAATATGATGAACTAACGCTCGATTCTTCTTTTCCAGAAATAATTGGTGGTAGAGGAAATGCGTGTTAATTTAGCGAACATATATCGTTTCGATCTCATCGTATCCAAGTGTCTATAAAGGCTTGGACCTAGGTTTCGCGCTCTCCCAGGAAAACTATTTATCCTGTTGAAAATATACTAGTAATTACGAATGGATCAGTGCATGAAGACAAGAGAAGACACTGGAAATAAGTTGTTGTATTGTATGAGGTACGTTAATCAATACAAACATCATGTCTTCAAACGATTGTCTATACCGATCCTTACAATTGCCACCTTTACGAGAATCTCTGTTCCTAATTTTGACAATAGTAATTATATAATAGGAGAATTAAGCAAATTCGAGTTCAACTATATAAAGTAGCCTCAAAGGACTATCATCAAAACTTGGGTGTATCACCTTATTCCATATAAGTACAGTGTATAAATTAGTCCCTTATTCAATAAGCGGCAAATAATTAATTAACATCCGTTAGCTGAATATTATTCCTACAGCCTTTCGATTATCTAAGTGTGAATTATTTAACTTGTTGGACCGCTGAAAGAAACGCTGATTTCACTCTAAAACTTTCAAAGCATCTCATCTTCACGAACAACTATTGAGTAGCATGTAAGGTAACATGTCCACATCATAATAGTTTGTAGTTGTCATTCCTCCACATCACAAGATCAACAAAAATAATAATGACAATAATGATAATCATATTAATACTAATAATTGTTACCAACACTATTATAACTATCACTATCATAGTAATGTATTGGCCTCGTTATTTTGATGCGGTGTAGATCTATTGCTTCTCAATCATGTCGTTGTTAGAGGACAAGAGTGTGTTTTTTCAAGGTCTCAATTACAATATAGCTGTTGTTCAATTTATTAAATCATTTTTTCTCAGACAAAAAGTGTTCTTAGTAGTTTAATTAAAAATTCATCAACTGAATGACACATAACTGTATTTGTTGTTATGTTATTAGAAAGAGGTAGTCTGTTAAATTCTGCATTTGAACAGAACAAAACAAAGCTATTTACGTGAAGTTAAATGATTAAACGTTCATTCACACAAACAAATTCATTAAATATTTTCATATTACCATATGACATCATAACAGTCATTAACTCATCTTTTTGCGATTATGAAACTACGTAAGTAGTTTAATTAAAAACAATTAATCCCTTTGATAAATCTGCATAATACGATTATAACCGGCTTTTCATCATATTATACAAATAGTTTAATATGAATCCGACTTTATAGATTGAGGAATGGATTCATAACTTTCTAGAATGATTTAGAAAAAAAGTTTATTCACATTTGCTTAATGGGATATACATGTGAAATTATTTAACTGTTGTGAGATTGTGTGAAATTTCAACAGTTGAGATCATGAGTCAATTGAAGCTAGACCACCATGGAAAACCTGGAAATCTTGATAAATGGACTACATTTAACTTTCTAGGAGGATCACTTCATCATCATTATTGGAGATAAAACTCTTTGTTGATATTTCTCACTGAAAAATTGACTGGAAGGTCCTAAGTAGTTTATTCCTCATTTTAATGTTTCTTGTTACTGGATGTTATCTTTTTGTACCAAACATTTCAAAGCACTTTTTTGATTATTTTTGGACTACTCGAATAAATACAAGTAGTCAAACGTTAAAGTAGATGTTATGATTTCAAAAGAAGAAATCTGTTAAAATGTTAACTTCTGAGACTAAATTTAACTTAACGTCGATTTGATCTACTAATATATTATTGAAATATAATCCATTTATCCGACAGAAACAATTATCTCTGTTTATGCATAAGTTCCAGAATGTTTATATATCAGATTGGTTTTGCTAATTAGCATAAAATCATTTTAACATCAAACTTCAGTATGTTGATTATATTAAGATTTGGATAAGACTAAGTTACTTGATGACAAGGTAAGGATATATTCAGCCTCTCAGTATTTGAAGTTACAGCCTAATACATCCTTGTAAAATATTTGTTTCTATTACTTTTTCGTGTGTATAAAGGCCAAAATTAGCACTAGCATGTGATTAATTGATTACTATGATATCATATGGAAAATACAGTTGATCAGATCCATCAAAATCCGTAACAATGGATAACCTAAAACCTCCATAGTAAATGAATCAGCTAGAAACTGGAGCAGTATATCCATTTAGGCTTTCCATTCTAAGGTGAATTTGTAAAAATATCGGTGTCAAGACATACCACGCTAATTGATTTAACTAGTTTATTCTGTTAATTGAGAAACGTAGAGTAGCAACATTGAGAGCCATGTGCATACGACGTACTGAATATTCAGAAGCAAGACATTCAATTACGATTCATTTTATATGTAATTATATAGTTCTATATTAAAGAATAAAAGATTGAAACGTATTTATTAATCATTCCTATGAAGACCTTATTATTTGAGAGCGAAGTTTTTTTCTTCATTCAAGAAAATAAACTTACAAACGATTAGGGATTATTTGATCTCTTTTATGGGTAATTATTAGATCTTGAGTGGTTTCTGTTTATTAAGAGACTGATGGGAAAACAATATTGAGCAGTTTCTATTTCATGTTGACACATGTCATCAAGGACTTCCTTAATTTGAAGTTACTGAAATTTATGACTAGAAAATATCATTTTACATTAGAAATGATGCAATTTTTACTTCTTGTCAAAGCGTCTATCATATGTTTGATTTAAACGTCTTACTGGTGCGTTCAAAAATCCATTTTTTTATTTTTAAACAGATTTTACGCCTATAGAGATTTATGGAGGGTGTAAATCATGTACTCTGAACGTGATCTTCAACAATGTTTGCCACAGCAGATCACAACAGTCAGAAGTTTGTTTGAAGATGATTGATTAAGTAAATTAAAACCAACATAGGGATGCATTTAAACATCGGAAAAAGTGGACGTAATAAATCAAATGAAGTCTCGCTCATTCAAAAGTTAATGTTAATTCAGTTTGACATGAAA